GCTCACTCACAAACCACTACACCAAACTTGATTTTGTAATATTTATTCAATTAAACAATATTTATATAAACGATCAACGGTTTTAAAAATTAAAAAAAAATCATTTCACCACATATTCACACAAAAACTGCAACAAAAATACAATGCAGATATCAATTATATATATATATATAATTAATTTAATAGAAGCAAAATGGAGGAACCGAGATGAAAGTACTAAAATGGAAACTGCGATGCAGAAACAGAAACTGCGATGCAGAAACAGAAGGCATTTGCTGACAGAAGGCTTACCATGGTCGCCAGATTGGCTGGAACATTTTCCTCTTGCATTCGTTTACAGGCAATTGCCTCATTAAAGAAGCCATTTTGTCCATAAGCACCAATCATAGTATTCCAAGAAACTACACTCTTCTCAACTATCTCCTCAAACAAGTGCTCTGCCGCCTCCAAATCTGCACATTTAGCATACATTGAGGTAAGAGCATTCTTCACATGAGAATCTGAATCAAGGCCCGCCTTAATTCCAAACCCATGAATAGATTTCCCTTGAGAAACTAACTCTTGTCCACTTGTTTCACCTACATTCATGACACTCTTTTCCGTACATAACCAGCACTGTTCTACAAAACAACCTAAAACCTTCATCCTGGTACCTGCAGAAAATAAGATCCCGCCAAACTCTTTCTGTATTCTCCACCACAGTCGCATTCCAATATCTACATTACCAAAGGCACCAAATCAAAGCAATTAGCAATGCATATAAGAAAACAATAAAACTCACAGAATCCCAATCAATGAAACTATAAACTGAGAAGAACCCATTAATTAAAAGCTCAAATCAAAACTAACCTGTCTTCCTCGGGAATATCCGAATGTGTTAGCTTAACAACAGTGAGCCAGGTTCAGGCTCTTCGAGTAAAAATTCAAACGAAACACACTCAGTCCACAAATCACAAAACCAAATAAAATCAACCAAAAATACGTTCAACCAAAAGCAAAACTTCACACACCGTTAATCAATCCCATCAAGCCAGCTCCCAAATCTCCACTTCTGCAGAATCAAACTCCCATTCTGCAACTCCAAATTGGTAATCGTCACGACCCATCAAAAATAGTATACTAATCTGCCCTATGTTGGGTTTATTCATCCTATGTTGGGTTTATTCATCCTATGTTGTGAACATTGACTCGACTAAATAAAAAACATGGAGCAGCTCCTCACAAGTGTAAGGGATTATCAGAGAATCATTTGAAATGCATACTTAAACAATTTTATAAGGGTCATAGTAACAGAGTCATTTTATCGAACAGCTAGTAGGCGAGCTTTTTTACATGGATTAAATTGGAAACACAAGATCCCATACTAAAAAAATCAGTCACTGAACCATCAAATATTGGACATATATGCTTTTAAATTAAAAAAGTAGATTGAATTGAAACTGTTACTCCTACCTGGAAGATCAAAGACTAAGCCACCGAACCATCGAAGACTTCAAATGCAAAATGCTCATAGCTTCTCAGGCCTCTGCAATTGAATTGAACTACGCCT